GTCGCAGTCTCCTTTCGTTGTATAGAGGTTGTTTGACCTTGTTTTCGCAACATGGTCATATTGGTAGGATTGGCAATATTACTTCCAGCCCTTTTTAATTGGCTGGTTTGTGGAATTCATAAATGGCCCAAACTTCAAGCATAATTCATGATAAGGTAATTATCCCTAAACTAGACAAAAACTTATTTCTTTACGAACTTCATTCAACAACGTGTCTACTCTGAGGAAGTGTACAGCCTCACTGACCTTGCTCCCTTAAAGGGTAGCTATGAAGCTAGATCATGGCTAAATTTTCCTGGGTTATTCATACCACGGAGGCTGATTTGAAAGAACAGGAGTCACAGGAGTTTCATGAGAAAAGGTAGCTCTAGACTTGGGCTTAAGGCATAATAAGTATGAATGAGGATACTTCTAGTCTATATTACGTTTATAAGTATGCTCATATATTGAGTGTTAATGTTATTGTTTTTTTAGTCTAAAAGGCACTGTCAAGTCCGCATAGGCACCAAAGAGTTAGTTGCCCCCGTGCATTATACAAAATTCTGTATGTTCTGTGATACTGATTAATCTCAAATAAAGCTGCTTAATGCTATATACTTCCGAATTTGTACAGGATAAATTCAGCAAAATGCTTGAGGATAACCTGTGGGATGAGGAAGTCTTTCACCTTGCTAGCACAGCAGTAAAGCAGCATGGTAGGCTTTACCTTTGTTGAGCTTACTTCCATTTCGAGTGAAAGTGTTTGGTAAAGAGATTCGGAGGTCGATTCCACCAAAAGACGACGGCGGATTCCTTTTGATCAGCTGTCAATTGGCTTTACTGAAACAGTCAAGGTAACGCTGTTTCCAAGGTAGTCTCCTTCGATTCCGGCGAATAGGTGCTAAGCTTTCATCCATAATATGACAAACATTCTCAGTGCAAGGTATCATCGTCACAAACAAATTCAAGCTAACGAGTCAGGAAATCCATAGGGATTTGCCGGTGGGTTATCTTGACTCGTTAGCTTGAATTTGGTTGCGACGATGATACCTTGCTCTGAGGATGTTTGCCATATTATAGACGAAAGATTAGCACCTTTTCACCGAAATCAAAGAGATTACCTCGGAAACACGGTCACCATAAATTTTTCAGAAAAGCCAATCGACAGCTGATCAAGAGGAATCCGCCCTCGTCTTTCGGTGAAATCGACCTCCGAATCTCTTCACCCAACACTTTCACTCGAAATGGAAGTAGGCTCAACAATTATGAAACAAGAGATTCTTTGAAACACATTTTATTTGCTTTTATCCCCTTTAGCACAGTTCACAACTATAAGAAAGTATCTATCTTTTAACCTTTTTTACCATCATTTCTGCATGCAGCATGTCAACGTCAACTCTCGCGAGTAAATGAGGTATGTCAAGAGGCTTGGCCTTCGCTCTTGCGCTCGAATCCAATCACCTTCTCGGGTGATAAGAACGCCTCGTTAGTAGCTGCAGCTACGCTAGTCTCAAAACCTTCAGTAGCTGGCCTGGACTCGATCGAATCCGCTTCAATCACATCCGCAACTTCCCCACTTGCTACAACCACCATACCCTCAGGCCCAGTTGCAACGGCTTCAGCAGCGGCTGCAGTGGCTGCAGCTTTTTTCGCCAGTAACGGGTCTCTTATTCCCTGCGGAAGTATGGGTCGAAGCAGCAACTCTTCAAGCAATCTCTCATCCCCTCTCTCGAGTCGATCAGAGCCGCGAGACCCGAGCCCGATTTCTTCAAAATCGTCATCTTTCTCTTCTAACTTCTCAACTCCCTTTTCAACTTCGTCGTCAACCACTTTTACATCTGCATCCTCATTCTCTTCTGGTTCTTCTTACCAGTTGATGACAGCATCTTCTGTGGCCTCTTCCTCCACTTCTTCCTCGTCAAGCTTGGAAGAAGCCAATAATACATCACCAACGCATCAATTTAAAACGATCCTTTGTGACAAGCAGGCTTCCTTTTTGACCAGCCTTCTGCCCCATACTCTGCATACAGCATCACTGCCACCCTCAGCCACCGAATCAGTTTCTGTCCATTCCAATGCTCTAGAAAGCCGAGTAGGCCAGTTCGCATCAGATATGGGCAATATGGAGATTGATAATCATGGGTCAAATAAAAGTCTTCCCTCAACACCAACACCCTTGACGTCAAACGTCACTTCTGCCCCTTCGCTATCTGCAAACGGGCCCCTTGATGCGACCGCCTTGCTTCACTGGGGGTTATCTGGAAACTCGTTTCCTCTCCGAACACGTAATCCAGCCACCGAGGCCGCACTATCTGCCTCCTTCTCCTCAATATGGCCGGTTGATTCTGATGAGCCGACTCTCGGCAACTCTGACATGAGCTTCACCAGTTCCCTGTGGCAGGACTTTCACCAAAAGTTTGCTCAGTTTTATCTGGCCAGTCTTAATTCACAGTCAACTGGAGACATAGAACTTCAGCTAGGCCAAGCTCTCGAAATGGATACGCATGGTCCTGAAGAGCATGTGTTTTCTTCGGCCCCAGCCAGACAAGGTAGAAATATGATACAGTCTACTGTCCCCTCAAAGGTATCGCCTTCTTCCCCCAAAGCGTTCACCTCTTCGCCTCTGTCTCCGGGCTCTCCTGTTCTTGCTGGTTGTGCCCAGTCGCCTGGACGCCAATCCTCTGTCGCCATGCCAACAACACTTCTTGCCTCGTCCAGTCTCAAAATGACCGACCTGGCGTCAAATCTACAGTCGTCGCCATCGCTTGTTTCTTCCGGTTGCCCTCCTGATTTACCGGCTTCTCGACTTTCACTGTCTAGCTTCTCCATTCCCAGTCTTCTCGACGAGCTGACTCGACCCTCGGGACAAAGTAGGTCGGGTGAGGCGGTTCCCAACGGCACGGCAACTGGGCGTTCCGTAGAATGTCAGCACCGGCACAAACTGAGACAGTCTCCAGGGCGCTACCAGTGCGAAGTCTGCTCTCGCAGCTATTCCACCATGACAGGACTGGCGCGACATGCGGATCATTTTCACCGCAAAGAAGATCAGCATTCCTTGGGCCATCCACAGGGCCGGAAGATACAGGCCGGCCTGTTGTCCTCACCAGACGAGACAAAGAAATCGGCATTTTCGAACAAGTCAATGATGCAGAGACTGACACGTCGAAACGCGCATGTTTTTAGCACCGGCACACCTCCAGACCCGGCGTGTGTATCCTCAGAGGCAAGGCTTCAGGTAGACTTGGAGGCTGGAATTGAGGTGGAAGGACAGGAGACAAAAATGAAGCTTGGCACGATGAGGGAAGAGGAGAAAGATAATCTCGAGCCGGAGGAAGAGGACGAGGAGCAGGAAGAGGAGGCTAGTGCTTCTGTGGCCACATTCGATTCCGATGAAGCCGTTCACTCGCTAGACCGCCAGTACACATGTCATCTCTGCGCCAAGGTCTACTTCTCTATGTCGGCTCTGAAAATGCACATCCGAACACACACATTACCATGCAAATGCACTGTCTGTGGAAAGGCATTCTCACGGATGTGGTTGCTGAATGGACACTTACGGACGCACACCGGCGAGAAGCCGTTTGCCTGTACCGTCTGTCAACGGGCCTTTGCAGATCGGTCCAATTTGCGAGCTCACATGCAGACGCATTCTGACGTGAAACGCTACCGATGCATCGCCTGTGGCAAGACCTTCAGCCGCATGGGTCTGCTCACCAAACATAAGCTGACTGCGTGCACAGCGACCAGCCTCGGGAAACCACAGACACCGGGTTCCCCGGTACAGAATCTGTCAGGCCATGCTCGTCAGCGTAACTCCTTCATGCATGCCTCTCCTCTTGACCGACCCTCCACCCCGCCCAACCTCTCAATGGAGCACAGCTTGTATCCACACCACAAACACCAACATCATCACCGCAGCCAGAGCCAGCGCCAGCATCATCCCCACCAGACACACCAGCAGCAGGGAAAGCGCCAACCACCATCGCTTCATCGCATGGAAAGCGCAACACCAGCTAGTCCAATTAACGAGGTCAATGGGTTACAACTTCATGTGGACCAATACAGCCTGGAAGATATGTACTGCAGAGAGAATCAGAGCCCCCTTGGTCTAACCAGCTCAGGTTCTCTTTCTCCGCCCAATTTGACGAGTGCTTCAGCTGGCAGCTTATTGACGTCCGCAATACTAACTTAGAACCGCAAATGCATGAATTTCGGCCACCATACTCGGACACTAGTCAACGCCAGCGAACCAACCAAGCGAATTAATAGCAAAATTTTCATTCGC